TATATGGCTTTAAGTGAAGTCCAGTATAGAAATAATATCTAAATAGCAATTAATAAATATATTAATTGAGTTGAGAGAGAGAGAGAGAGAGAGAACTTTAATCGGATTGATGTAAAAATTATTTTATACTATAATTGATCGAAAGTGTATTATAAAGTCATATAATAATCCCATCCCCAAAACCCGGTGCGCATCCCATTCCTGAAATGTTAGTATAACTGACCGCTCATATGATATTACAATAAGTCAATGACCTAAACATCAAAAGTCAAAGTGAGGTACGGAAAAAAGGAGAGAAAAGTTTGGCAACATTTCTATAACATTAATATAACTCATCCTAAAAATTCATAAATATTTAGCTAATTGTAGGCAACAATTGATACTTTCATTGCAATTATTATCAATCCATATAATAATTAGATGATTGATTGGAAATAATAGAAAAATATTTAAACAAAAATTATATGGATTGTGTGTACAGTATATGTACTCCAATATGTTTTTATATAAGAAATCTAATATTATTAAAAAAACTTTTGCTTTTATTAGACGCTAATCAAAAAGCCTTAGAGCATTGATTTGTTGGCACATAAGTTGTTTGCGAGTATAAGGTTTGGTGTGTTTTGTGCCTGTTTTTCAGGTTAATCACTAAATAATTAAAATAATATTCAATATTATAAACATGTATTGCATTTAATAGTTGAATAAAAAAAACTCAATGTAATTCTTCTCTGATTTTGTAATCATATTTGAATCTAAAGGCATAATTAATTGGCGCAATGTTTCTATTTATGTATTTCTCAACAAAGTTTTGCTAATTTTAAAAATACTCAAAAATTGTATTGTTTTGGTGGAGGAAAAGAAAGAGTAATACAACAACAAAAACACATATCCAATACCCGTATAATACATATATAAAATGCAATCTGTTTTTCACTGATTAAACACTTGATATGTGTATTAAATATCTGACGTTAAATCATATCTATTGTACTAAAAGTTTCGTTTCCTAATAAGTAATTCTGTTGTTATGTTTGAATTTGTGGTTTTTTCACGAGTGCTTAACATATCACCTAATTTTGGGCTCACTTTTATCTCACTTCGGAATAACAGAAACTTACATTTCGTTTTTCCACATATTTTTATTTTTATGCGATTATATTTTATTTTCACAATTTTCCTATTATTTATATATTTTGTGTTATCTTTTTCTTCTATCGTTTCGATTAACTTTAAAAATATGGTTATTTTTAACTCAAACAATATATATATAAAAAGTTTTTGAATCAACAAAATTTCTTTAAACAAAATGTACTCAACTTTTTTCTTCTTCAATTGCTTTTTATTTTTGGACTTTCAATCGTATCATAACTTTAATGTCAATGCATTCATACTCCCGACTCTTATGTCACTTCTTACCTGCAGTCTCTCTCTCTCTCTCTCTCTCTCTCTCTCTCTCGTTGGGATGATTGCGCCCATCCATGAGTGCTCTCTCAACAAACAACTCTGCATTTCAATGAATTTGGTTGTAATGTCTTTTAATTTGAGTTCCAAACGAAACACGCATTTCTTGTATATATTTCTTAAATTATAATCAATTACTCGTTAACATAATTACACACAAAATTGAGTCAAATTATTCAACAATAATTTAAGTTATTATAATTTATTGACTTTAATATTGTTTAATATTATTATCTGATTGGAGAATAAATATACGAAAGAATCGATTAAATCGACGCTAATTAGCACTCAATAAGATAGGGCTCCTATTTTTCCAGCCGTTTTGATTTCAACAAGTTTTTGTGAATAAAATTATTATTCAAATTATAAGTTATTTTTTTATAAGGAATAAAATTTCCAAAAATTATGAACAAAAATGTGCTGAAAATGGTTGAGGGGATGGCATAGAGTGTATTCCCGGTCTGTATTGAGTGGTAACCAGTTGTTTGGCGTCCTTCACAAGGTTTGTCGACAAAGTTTTTCGGATAAAAATATTTCTTCTCTTCTCTTCACTCACTGTTATATATGCAGTGCTATTGCAGTGGCGTTAAAAGCATTCATCAGATATGCCACCAGATATGCCTTCTCTGCTATAAATTGAGATCATCTCTCGGGCTAATGATTGGTATTAATTACAGCACACAAATCATCTCATGGTTTGTATATTTTCATATCCATTATCTCTGTAATAATGGTTATACAAACGGATAGATTTGTGATATAAAAAAGTGAAGTCTACGCGACTGTGAAGACTCGTGAGTATCGCATATAAGAGATGAATGCATTCAAAGAGAGAAAAATAACAATAGACTAAAGCTATAGGTATAGTAAAGTCCTGAACAGAATATGATAGTAAAGGTATAGAGAAGTAGTTTTTAGCCCACATTCACAAAAATTTGCGAACAAAAAACATCTATAAGTCTTATACTACAAAAATTTGAACACAAAAGCCGTAGAATATATGCAATACTCCTATAATTTCCTGTAGTTTAGGTGAAAATTGAAGCGAAAAAACAGATACAATAGGACTGATGCCAAACACATGGCATATGTCGAGTTTGGGAGGGCTTTTCGCACCACAAGCTTTCTCTCCGCCACAAATACCTTTACCTGAGTTTAAATAATATTACATAAAATACAAGTATTATTATTATTATATAAATAAATGTATTATTGAGTGAACACAGAAATTATTCATAACGTTATACTCGACATTAGGGTCGCAATACTCTCACAATTATCTTAAAAAACTTTAAAGACATAAAAACACAGGACATAGTGTTTGTTCATTTTTCGTATACATTTCCCCGAAAAAAAATATTACATTTATTTTAATATACAAAACAAGAATTAAATCATAATTTTCACATTTCAATCATGTTTTTATTGCATTATTTTATTTGAAATTCAATTTATTTCTCCTCTCATTTACAGTATTAGTTTCTAATCGCGAATGAAAACTGCATTTTAATTAATAATACATTTAACTGTAATAACAATTATGATAAAAATGAGAGAAAACACAGTTTAAAAACAATTTTTTTGTTCGTTTCGTACTTTTATGGCTTAAAAATTGCTTTTTTATACATGTTTTTTCTTTTGTGGTATGATTTTTGGACAATAATTTGATTTCTAAATCCTAATAATTCATAACTGTTTCGTTTGCCTTCGTTTTAATGTTGACTGTATTATATGTAATGGCATTCAATGTGTGTTTTTATTTGAAAAATAAGGAGAGAATAAACTATTAAGAGGTAGAGCTGTGGCACACTTTCCCAACAGATTATGAAAAAACTTATTAATTAAGTCCGTAATAAACAATTAATTATATAAAAAACACAAATAATAAGTTATTTTGTTGTTTCCAGTTGTGATGTAAACGTTGTAAATGTTATATTATATAACTTATATACAATAGAATTGAATTGCGGCCGAAGACTGCATCTCGATTTGACTCATTTTGGTCTGTAATCAAAGCAAAAATCAATATCACTATTAATATGGCATTTGATTTATTGTATGAAATATAAAATCATATTTAATAACCGCCACAACTGTCAGCGAACTAACAGTTATAGCAGTTATAGGTATTAAATAGCGGTTTTCACTAATTGTTGTCTACCATTTGATTTATTTGTAATTACTGTCAAAGGCTTTCAACAAGTGTTATATCGCTTGATTAGACGCAAGTGGTTGTGTCGATGTCGACATCTCTCTCTCTCTCTCTCTCTCTCTCTCTCTCTCTCTCTCTCTCCATAGAAAATATAAATTATTAATAGAAAACATAGGCTAATGTTATTCAAGCCTTTCATCAATTATACGTGAAAAGCATTACATTGGAAAATATTTTGACTGAAGAAAACTAGTATTTAATTAACTAAACTTTTCAATTAGCCCTACATTTAAAACACTACTATTTTATTACATTTAATCAGCAATACATTAGAAAAGTTCTGAAATAATTAGAAAAGTTTTTATTAGTAGTCTATCATATAATATAACTCTTATGGCATTTGTAAGTGTAGTATATTTTCATTACTACAGCATATCTTCACTGCTTTGAATCAAAGGTTTAAAATTCAATCTTAATTAAACTCAAAGCATTATATAATGCACTCCACATGAAAAGGGCTTCACATTTAGTTTTCAATCATTAATTAGAGGTCTCTTAAGATAATAATCATCTCTTGCTTTAAATAATGACAGACTGTTTGGAATTTTTGTATTTATTTTATTTCATTTCAAGACAAACTATTTCTGCTCCGCACAGACACTCATGATATGGACATTAAGTTCGGGTAGAGATCTCAGTCATTCAAATACCACACATCACGAGAGAGAGAGAGAGAGAGAGAGAGAGAGAGAGTCTACCCGAACTTAATGTCCATATCATGAGTGTCTGTGCGGAGCAGAAATAGTTTGTCTTGAAATGAAATAAAATAAATACAAAAATTCCAAACAGTCTGTCATTATTTAAAGCAAGAGAGAGAGAGAGAGAGAGAGAGAGAGAGAGAGAGAATTTTGTTTGGGAAGTCTTTTTTCTTAGGGCTGAGAATTATTTGTTTCGGATTTTAAAATTAAAGTTTAATTCAAATTTTACAAAAATCTCTTGTATTTAATGAAATACGATATAAAGAATGGATTGAAATGAGAGGAAAAATGTGAGTGAAAAAAATCGGAGAGAAAGAGTGAGTCAATTGAAGCGAAATATAAATGAATCAAAGAATTGGTTTGTAATATACTGTAATAGTTGTTAGTGTTGTGTAAATCACTACAAACTAATCGATATAAATCATTCGACCATTAGATTAAAGGCATTCATATAAAACTTTTTTTGTTGTGTTAAAGGGATTTGTAGTAATAAGACCGCCGGTCCGTCATTTGATAAAAACCCATAAAAGCTTTGCACAACATTTTTTCCTCTCATTTCTCTATTTGTTAAGTTTTTTGATTCTCTCTTCACAACCATTTATTTGTGTCTCTTATCTCTTATATTAACTTTTGATTGAATGTATGGATTATTAACAACTTTATAATGAAAAGTCATACAAACCTGCATTCTCTGCAGCCATCGTATTAGAGTACTAGAAGTCATGGCCGCGTCGTCTTTGGTCTGTGGAGGTGTCCGCCAATTGATGACCGACTGGAGCCGCACCTGAGTGTTGCCCGAGAGTTGGCCTATCGATGCAAAACAATTTTTTATTAGTTCCTCCACTAAACCCCTAGTTTTATGATTTTATTTATTTCAACGTTTCCTTTTCATAAGATTATATTGTATTTTTATTTTTATATTTATTACATTATATTGTGTAAAGAATTTAATGCTAACCTTTATAGCTATTGAATACAGGCGTCCAAAGGGGAAGTAACTGAAACACACAGAGATAAAAAATTAATACATTTTTTTCACTACTTATACCGTTTCGAAACAATATTCACAATATCTCTGATATAAATCAATGAATTAATTGCTAACCATTTAATATAAAAAAGTATTAAATTTTTACGAGGTTTGTGTCAAAAAGAAATATAAGTACAATAATAAGAAAAATTGATTTCAATCAATACATTAGATATGAATAGTCGGGCAGAGAAACAAAGTTACATAATATATAATAATAATAATAGTAATATCCCATAATATGTAAGTTAAATGTAAAATGTTGTGCAAAATATTATCGTGATTTATCTTACTCTGGAAAGCATTGTTGAGTTGCATTCCATCAGTGTTTCCATTAAGTTCAAGAAATGTAAGCTAACCGTCTCCGCCAGCTATTCAGGCGATTTCAATGGATGCATAAATGGTATGATAGGGCACAGGATCCCAGTGTTTGGATGAGAGAGCAAAAGAGAGCCATACATTTATCATTAGACAAATTTGATATGAATATATATTTACAATTAGGATAATGATTGACAGTACAGTATATGTTAAATGCATTACATATCCAAATATACACTGAATGTGTGCCTTCTTTTCAGTTACAAAAACAGTGCTATTCGAGTGCATAATACTAATAATAATACTAATATTAATATTAAAAATAAAGTTTGTAATATGAGGTATAAATGAGGCAAAAAATAATACACAAAACACATTATCTAAGCTAATAGTTGGACAACAGAAATGGTTAAACTAAGCCAACGCTATTAGAAAAGCCGCTGACCTGATAGAGTCCCTCCTTTACACCACATTTCAGATGAAAGGAGTATTGCGTTTAGTAGTAGAATGTAAGCAAAGGAAATAAAAAGGTATTATAGTGTAAGTAAAAGCAAACATCAAATTGTTTTTTAAGCAATTTATATCATATATAATATAATGTTATATTTTTTTCGGTAATTGTTATTATTCTCGGCGGAAAATTTATTTTTTTGAGCGATTGTTATAAATAATAAGTTATACCACTTTTGAGTGACAGATCAGTTGTAGAATGCCCGGGGTTATTTTGGCCCAGAAATCAGACAGTGTGAGTGTGCACTGATGGTACTGATCGCTTCCGGGAGGGTTCTGTGCGGAGATGTTCTCGCAATACATTGTCCAAAGTTGGCACAGAATGAACGCGTGGAAGAGTGAGGACATGTGCAGTACCGAGGCTTTGGACTGTTCGGCAAATCCGGCCAAAATGACTTGAATGTGTTCCGCGATGTGAGTGTTGGCCTCCAATGGGATGGGTTGGCACAGGAATGTGGCGTTATTGTGGAGCAGTGCCGAGTGCTGTAACGAGCCTAACAATAGCCACGAAAGTGACCGAATGTGTGCCACACAATCGATAAACTCTTTCGGACTATTCGTTCGCATCCAATGAATAACAATAGGGTTTTAGTATTTTATTTGTATTTGTTTTTGCGGGCTTTTGAGGCTTTTTTGTTTGACTGTTTTTGATAACATTTCTATTATATTCGTTGCGATTTATTGTTGTGTTGTTTTGTTGTGTGCAAAAGAAAAGAAGTTTTTAACGCAAAAAACTTAATGATTAGCAGAAAAACGAGAAGTTTTTAGCGAAACAAAGACTTATACACAACAGAATTCATCACTTTATCGAAGTCACGCTTTTTTCACTTTTTTGGGCTCAAAATAAAACTTAATTTGTTTCCTAAAATACTTTTGTTGTGCATTTTATTGTGTGTTTTTTTGTCGCCACTGTTTTTTATAATTAATATTTCAATTTCTATACTTAATTACGAGAGAGAAAGAAGAGTCGGTTTTTTAAATTTGAATTCCTATTCCTCTCTTTCAAAAAAACTCATTTTGAATTTTGAATGAAATAAAGATATTTTCTACACAAAAAACTAAAGAATTGTTGAAAATAAATACAAAAATAGAAAATAATGCTTAAATTTAAAATTAATTTTAGATTTAAATGGTTTGAGAATAATATGTAAGGAAAAGAGAGATAGAAAGACAATTGTGATGCAGACCCCTGTTGTAGTGATGGCAGACTGTATAGCCAGGGAAGGTATTTGGTTATCGCCCGGTGATCACTGCCATTATTTTTTGTCATCTCTAGTGATAAATACTGAGAAATTCCTGACTTGAGATGTCCTCCCAGTGTCTCTTCATTCAGGTGTATAGAAGTTCCCAAAAAATTACTCTGAAAAAAGTGAAACATAAAAAAATCAGATTAAATATTCTCATCGGAAAAGTCAAAAGTCATTACAATAAATATAGAGTACATTCACTACAGTATTGGCTGACTATTCATTTTGATTATACAGATAGTGTGTTGACTAACTCAACGCACAGGTAGGCCCAGAAAATGTGTGCCATATCAAGGTATGATAGAGGGAGGCATACCTTAACCCTGGAGAGTGTGTGTACATCAGTGACAAACTCGAGTAAATCCATCACATTTTGTCGCATGCATTCAAAGGCGTTGGTGTTGTAGCTCTCGATTTCAATGGTGTTATTCATACGTAAGTTCTCGACGATGACGGAGGGGGTGAGAGTGCCGGAGCCGTCCTGGAGTAGGAATTGAACTAGCATCATTAGATTCTCGTCCGGAATCATTGTCCGGAACTTAATGGCCTGAATGAGTTCGCAGACCACTGTCCGCGTCAACAGATAGCGGTCTCTTTCCCGGACAAAGTTTCTGCAGCAAAGGTTACATAAGTCGAGGAGCTGTTCGTAGAGCACAGGCGACTGCTGTATGATATGAGACAGCATTTTGGAGAAGGGGTCCAGAATTGTTTTGTATGTATTAATTATCGGCAGTTTTATAGTCGATAACATGATTCGCATAATCGGTGTTAAGTTAAGTACTCCCGCGTCCGGCAATAAAAGCATTAATTTTCGCAAAAATGTCTCTAATTGTGGCAGAAATAGAGCCCACGGCTGTTGGGATGGCGTTTCCAGAGATATGCACTCCAGATATGTGGCGACATTACTCAACATATGCAACATTTCAGATATTTGTGGCAAATGTTTTCTTTCGTTCAGATTCTAGCGTTTGATTACAAAATTTATAAGTTATGTACAGATTTTTATATCAGTTATAGAGAGGGCTTTAGAAAGAATTTTTAACATTTTATTTCAAAAATATATTTCATTCCTTTTGAGGAATTTATATATTTATTGAAAGAAATTCGTTAAATAAAAGGCCGGAGACATAGCTTTGCGGTCGAGTTATAGTTATACATAAATATCTTATTTTCTCAACGGTTTGGCACAAACAATAATAATTAAATTGACAAATATGGTATTTCGGGGCCCAAGTCGGGCCACTATCTAAAGTAGATCCCGGGTTATGTTAATAAAGGGTAAAATCTTCCCACAAGTCTGCAAAAAATCAGATAAAGTGCAACATCATTGAGATATAAAAAGTTGGAAATAAATAAATTCGTTCAATATATAAATTTATAACATATTTGTTCGCAAAATGACATTTATGCAAAGTATAAAGCTGGACAAAACTCATTCGCCAGCCTTTTATTATATAACTAGGAAATTAAATAATGGTATTCTTTAAAGTGATTATAATTTATAAATTAAGATCAATACTAATAATAATAAATTGAATGAATAGTAAAAAGAAAGGCTTACTTGAAAGAGCTCTACGAGAGGGGAGACCTGATTGAGATCGACGAAGTCAGACAACGCTAATGCTATGCTTTTAAAAAATCCTGGATCTAGTGATTGATTTTTGATTGATTCAAATACAAAAGAGATAAGAGATAAGAGATGAGAAGAAATACATACATAGAGTGAGATAGAAAAAGGGAAATATAATTTATTATGTATTGGTATGCATTGAGTATTCAAACCGAAATGACACTAAATATGTGTTGAATGTAAAGTCAGTGAAATAACTCACTGGTAAAGTGTGCGTAAAATAGTTGCTTGAATATGCCGTTCGGCGCCAATTGATGTAAAGTACAGCGAATGAATTGCCGGGCTATCGATGCCGTGCTTCCGGGCAAATGGATATTGCTATACATGGGGCAGGGGTTGAGGGTTTGGACCACAATGTAATCATATGTTATATTCTTTTGCAACATGTCTTATAAAACAATGCATTCAATATTTTTAAGATTAAATGTATTGATTGGCAAAAAATGCCACAAATGCTTGGAATCCCTTTTATCTCTCAAAGAAATATATATGTATACAAAAAATATGTTTGAGTTTTTTGCGATCAAAAGGCTTTTAACTGTGATTTTCTAATAAATTAAAAAAGATTTTAGTTCAGCAGTTATTTTATAAATTGATTTTTATAAAGAAAATCTATTAGCGATCAGTTTTTATGTGCCTTCACTTAAGTATAGTATTGTGTTTCGAAAAGCATTTTATTTATTTCCATTTATTCTCAAATAAATAGATTATTATATAATAAATTAATTTGAAAACTAAACCATAAAATGAGAAAAACGAGCGTTTGATTGAATGAACAGAAAAATCAAACAAAAGAAAACACTTATTTGTGTAAATATTGCAATAAAAAAACTTTTCTAACCTTTCGCTCTGCCAGTGATATGCTGTGAGTCCCGCGTATTTGGACACCAATTTGATGACATCGGGCAGAATAGGGGCCGCAATACTGGGCTCGCGGTGAACATAAGTGCCTAATATTATTATACAGAAACCAATTTCCTCTTCGGAGAACTGTTCCAAGACATGTCCACAACGAGTGCACCGCTCGTGAACGATATCCTCGGGCGAGAAAACCGTATTTCCGGCCGATTGTTGCGACGATCCCTTACTTTTAGATGGCATCGATCGGGCGGTTCGTCGCGAGACCTTATCGGCGACACCACCGCCTCTGGTATCCATAGATCGCTGCACTTCACTGGCAGTGGACGTCATTTTTCTGGTCTTTCTCTGCCGATAGTGTTGTCGAATCGGCTTTTGTTCCTCTTGTGTAGGATTTTGTGATTGAGTTATCGTTTGATTAGAGTTTCGATTTGTATTCTCTTCCTGTCTATCGTTTCCGGAAGTGGTGTTCAATGGGAGAGAAGACGGCATTTCTATGACAACCTTTTCCAGCGTTTCTTCTTTCGATTCATTGATGTTTGGCTTTGAGTCGCGTTTATTTGTATTGACATCACTTTTGGAGACGGAATCACATTTAGCACCATTTAGTGTCGATTCTGGCGCTTCTCCTACTTTGACCACTTTTGCCAAACCCACCAGAATTGGAGAGTTCGGAGGTTTTACTTTGACTTCTGGACTGTCAATGGATTCTCGCGGAGAGATTACAGATTTGGTATTGTTTGCAGTGATGGGAGTTGTTGTCGAAGTCATTGCATATGCTGTTGCACTGGAAGGATGTGAAGTACTAGTATTGCTGGCAATTGTCACTAATTGAGTCAATGATGGCTCCACTTTAGGAGAAAATATCTCCTCTTTCCTGTAGAGCGGTGTCTGAAAAATTGCTGATCTTTTTGGTTGAATTTGTGGCACTGGAGACACCGTTTCCTTTCTGGTGAAGGGAGGCGTCGGTCCGATCGGCAAAAGCCGTTCACAAACCGGGAAATGCATCTCTCCTTCACTCGTGACAAACGGTTTAAATGTTTGGACACCTTTGTTATCATAGTCTCCGAATTGACTAAAGTCTTCGCGAAATGTCATGTCTTTATTGGTTCGCATCTCTTTGGCTGAGATTCCAATGGGAAGAAGCCTTTCCTGAGGCGGTCTGACCGGCAAAATGGGCTGAAGTTTGACCGGAGAATGTATTTCTATAGTCCACGTAGACTTTGACACTTTTGTATCCGCGCTGTCACTGCTGTTCACATTTCGCAGCACTTTATGTCCGCTTTCATGAGTTGAACACTTTTCGTCTACACTTCCGAAACGAGTCAATGAATTATGAGTGGGAATGTCGGCTACATTTGTTGGACACTGTTTTTCATTCAAATCTTTCTTATTCTTCTTCAGTTTGAGTGAACCCTCGATGGCTTCCATTCTTTGCATTTTATGTCTGTTAGCCGTTGGCGACAATTGACGGCTGATTCGTTGTACCGGTGGATGATATGGAGGTTTCTGTGAATTGGTTAACATATCGTTCACATCAATCACTTTTTCGCCAACAATTTCCTCCTTCTCTATCGTATTGTTGGCCAAAATAAGCTCTGGTTTGTTGGCAACTGTCATCTCATTAGTCTTAAGCTCTGGTTTTTCTTTCACTATATCTTGTGCTAAATTCTCTACTTTTGACTCAATTGCTGTACTGATTAAGTCATTAGTTTTATTGTCTATTATTAAATCCTCAATTTTATCGACAACTCTTGCTTTTGGACTCTCACTGATGGGTTCGGTCTCTTTGTCCTCATCGTCGGCATCACTAGAGAAAGCGCTGACCGTTTCGTTGAGTTTCGGGGAAAACATATCGTTGTCTTCTGTTTGAGAGTCAATACTTTGTTCCTGTTCTTGGATTTGCTCTAAATCTACTGATGCTGTACTCAAATCTGGAAACAATTTTAAAGATTGATTTAAAAAATATTAGAAATTAGAGCATTAATGGGTTAAACCTCGAGAACGGGATGGTATAGGACTTTGCATGTGTTCGTTGAGTGGACGACATCTATGAAATTGAGCCGCGAGTGTATTCATCACAATCTGAATCAACATTTGGATCTGTTTTAGTGTTGACTGAGAATTATATGAATGCTATTAAAAGGACAAAAAACACGAATAAGTTTTAATTGTACGGAAAGTGAAATGTGTTTTAATGAGAGGACAAATACTTTGTATAAAATAATGTTGAGAGACATGAGCCAAGACTGTCGCACATGAGGTTTGAGAAGCCAT